CTTCTAATGATTATTTATCACCATCGGCCGTTTAAGGCGAGCTGCTGCGATGATGAGGAGTCGAGGAGAAGAAACGGATTAGATTAATTACGAAATTAAGATTTTAATTGGCGATGGCGGCTCGAGCGATTTATATTTGCGTTTGGATCATTACCGTTACGTGACGTTCTGTGAATAAGTTTAATTGAATCACAATTCAGATTTGCATCAGCTGATGATAATTCGATTAGAGGAACTTTTCTTTCACTTCGTGCAGGATGGATTGCGATGGGAGCGAATCTGGATGCATCTGGTGATTCGATTGTGTAACTTCTCTTCACTTTCGCCATTCGCACGCCGCTTGATTCGTTTAATAATAAAACCGACACTTGAGCGCGTATCACTTTTACTTTTCATGTGCTCTAGTCTGAAGCCATTTGCTTTGTTTACACTCACAATTACTCACACGCCGCACCGCATCACACATTACAATGAGCATCGAGTTACATCGTGCGAACGCCATACAACATCTCAATTAATTATACTTGAACGCTTGTTACTATTATTATGAAGATCTAAATTTTGTTAGGATCTGTTTCCATGCAACTCCCCATCAACCATAAGTTAATTCAACTGTGTTTCTAGTAATCTACAAAGTTGAGTATTTTCCAGTTAAATACAACAATAAAATATATTTATAATCAATTGTTGCACATGTTTTCCACCCAAGTTAAATACATTTAAAATTATATTTATTTCTGTAACGATTAAATTTATATTTCATTAAATATCATTTGTTTACAAAATATCCTAACTATAATCAAAGAAGAATCTTAAAATTCCTTTTTTATATAACATTTTTCACATAAAATGAATGATTTCATTATGAAAAGTTCTATAGCCAAAAGCAATTTTATAATTACTGTTTTGTCGGTAGTCATTTATGTAATTCTACAATTATGTATAAACTAAATAAATGTGTTTAATTCGATTATGATAGTTTAAATTTGGATAATTCAGTATATTAAAAATACATAAATTCAATGTAATTAAGAATTAATAATTAAAAAAATCAGAATATTTCATCCAGTTTGAAAGGTCTAGTATTGACCATAGTTGCTTTGATTGGACCGAGTGCTTCACTTCACTTTCATTATTCTTTAAATATTCCTTATTAAGAACAAAAATAGGTGGTCCAAATTAGGCAACTTTTCCTACATCTATAATAAAATTTAATTGAACTATGTGAATTATTAATAATAAATTTACAGATAGAAATAATTTAAACAGAAGCTTCAAAAATTACATAGTTACTATTAGTACTATTATACTAGTAAATACGTTTTAAAATTATGAATTATCTATATTATTTTTATTTAAGTTGAACTATAAATAAATTAGTAATGTAAAAAAGTTCATGTAGAAAATCTAAAAGGATTCTGAATTAAAATCATGAAAATACAATTGTTTCATTCCCAATCAAAATGCATTTGATTATATCCACTTCTTGACTTTACGGATTTGATTAATGGAATGGTAATAGTACAGCAACAGTAAATTGACGTTAATAAAATGAATGAAATTTTATTGTCGAAACGGAAAGAAAAAAAAAACAACAAAACAACTCAATAGGAAAAGAATCGATTCGATAATTAATGGATTGCAATTAAGCAGCGGGGAATATCGAAATTGATGATTGCTCGCCGTTCCTGATTGATCATTCAATTATATGCCCCCGCCGTTACATAACTCCTTCGCTGGCTTGCATTATAATTTTTGTTGTTCCTGCTGCAAGGAGGAAATGCTTTATACACAGCGTCGCAATTTTTTCAGAACTTTTTTTTTTGTTAATCTATTTTCTCTCAGGCGAAAAAGCGAACTTCCCGAGAGAAAAGCGAGATTTCGCACGCAACGCAGATTTCCTAACGTAATAAACTGCGAACACCTGATGCACTTCTCGTCGTATCATTGTTGTCCCAGGCTCTTGGAAACGGTAAACTACGTCGGTTACAAAGCGAATCGAATTATTCAAAACCCCAGTGGCATCACGGCGAAAATGTACAGAACTACAAAATAAATAAAGCACACAAATAAAAATAATATAAAGTAAAAAGATTTTCATCAATGATTTCACTATTGATAGTTTGTTTAAATAAATTTAAAAAAAAAACTATGTACGGTTATCAAACTGTTATTCGATAGGTTTTAAAACGATTATCCGTGGGTTTCGAATTAAAAAAATGTTTACGAAAGTGTCGGTGATTATTCGATTAATGGAAAGGAACTCGATGTCTCGGCAACAAATATTTGCATATGCATTAATATGAAATAATTAGGTTTGCGCATTTGCATGCAGACTTAATGAGTCTGCGGCTCCGCTTTAAGCTTCTTCCTGTAAACCGGAAACGGATTCTGTTCGCCGTTTCACGTCACATCCGCAGTAATTCCACTGCAATTTCGCTTTTTTTTTATTGTTAAGATTAAAATATGTTTTAAATAAGATAATAAAATTTGGATAATTTAGTATTTTGAAACTATATATGCAAATCATCCAAATAATCATGAATTAATAATTGTAAAAAATATAAATATTTTATCTTGACGTCTCAAGTCTAATATTGAACATAGTTGCTTTGATTGGACCGGCATTTTATATATTAACTTTTATTGTTGAAAATAGTTCAATTTTGTTCACTTGGCTTCGCTTTTTCTTTCAATATTCCTTTTTTTTTTATTTTTTATTATTATTAAAGCAATCTATCATCTGACATAGATATCAAGCCTAATGAATGGGGTAAAAAGAAAAATTAAAAAAATGACACTATAATACCTAACGAGGAGATGATCCAGCAACCCCACTTCACATATACAATAATTATTTATGCCTTATTAAGAAAACAAATATGTGGTGCAAATTAGGCAACTTTTCCTACATTTTAGTAAAAGTTATTTGAATTCTGTAAAATAATCCGCAGCAATTTCAGTACAATTTCGTTTTTTTTTATTGTTACGATTAAAATATGTTTAAAATTAGATAATTAATTTGCAATAGAAATAAAATAAGTACAAGTATAATTAAATTGTTTCTAGCAGTTTTTTCTTTCATTTTATGCAAAATATGTTAGTTTAGCTCAAAAACTAATAATTCCCAAATATTGAATGAAATAATTTGAAAGAAAACTATTTACATAATTTATCTAGAAGAAAACGTAAAGATACTTTTCAAACATGAAATTAATTGCGCAATAAGTTCATAGATTTACAATATGATTGACGGAAATAATTCAATCTTTAAAGTCTATTCGAAAGCGTTATTGTTCAAAATCCGAAACCATTGTTCTTAATAGAATTAACGTAAGATAGTTAAGTCTTCTCTTAGTTTGTTGATGAAATTCTTTCTTAATGCATGAATTTGCTTTAAAAATTCTATTTGATTTTTGTTCGAAAACCTATTTTTCCGAAAATTCTGACAAAAGTTGAATGTTTTATAGATTACTTAAATCACATAGAAAGTTTGTTGATGAAATTATTTCTTATTGCATGAATTTGCTTTAAAAATTTCATTTGATTTTTGTTCGAAAACCAATTCTTCCGAAAATCATGGCAAAAGTTGAATGTTTTATAGATTATTAAAATCACATAGAAAGTTTGTTGATGAAATTCTTTCTTAATACATGCATTTGCTTTAGTAATTCCATTTGATTTTGGAAGATAACCTATTTTTCAGAAAATCCTGGCAAAAGTTGAATGTTTTATAGATTACTTAAATCACATAGAAAGTTTGTTGATTAAATTCTTTCTTAATACATGAATTTGCTTTAGTAATTCCATTTGATTTTTGTACGAAAACCAATTTTTCCGAAAATCATGGCAAAAGTTGAATTAATGCATGCAATAATGCAATATTATTTTCAAATTGTACAAAATTATTATGTTTTTACTTGCAACAATATAACAAAAATAGAAAAACGTAATAAAAAAATAACATAAATAAAAAGGATAGAAAATAAATTTAATCAAGAAGTTACATTATTTTTAAAGATGGAATTGTATGAATCCTTGTAAAATAAAGATGTATACATTGAGACAATTTTGAATAAAATATACTTTACATGTAAGTTATTTCTATAAAGTAAAGGTAGAAATACTCGAAACGGAGCAAGTAATTGTGGAGAGAAAAAAAACTAGATTTTCCTATAATATTTATTTAATATTTCTCTTATACAATGAAAATTGCATACAAAAATATTTCAGCCTGCTTTTATTTGCTCCATATTATATATTTTTTTAATGAATACACACAGTTTTCATTAATTAATATTTACTTTTAATGACAATAAAGCGTATCACAACAGCATTGTCCTAAAATAATTGAAATTGCAATTGTACCTCTCTTTGCACAGAACAAATAAATATATTTAATCAACGAATACCTTCGAAACTAATAGGAATGCCTCCTAAACTAATTGATTTCACTGCGAGTATTATCGATTAAATTTTTAATTAAATTTGTATGCGGTTATCTTTCTGCTCGAAATGGTACGGATACAGCAAGCAAATACAATACAAAAAAAAGAACAGAGACGATTATTAGCATTGATTTTTTAGCGTTATTAATGGTATTTTCGCTGTGATATTATTATACCATTTTGATGATATTGATGTCCATGCAGAAGAAATTATTGCGGAGGTAATATTTTATTTAAAATCTGTCGCATTTGGATGATAGAAAGTGATGAAGTGGACGTGCAAAAAAAAAATATGCGACGTGGATAAATAAAATTGGAAATGTATTTTATACGTGCGAGTCCTAAACGGAAATGGACTAATACATTTTCGTTGCTATGGATTATTTACAGCCGGATATAAATATGACGTTCGGGGTGTAAATCATGCGAATGTTGTGGATCACTCACTCACTCACTCGGATGAATTCCCGTATAGATGTTATGTGAAAGGGATGATAATCCTGAGGATAGTATGAGTATAGTTTGCTGATGGATTTGAATTTGTGGTTGCAGTGAGTCCGAAAGTGAAATGCACTCCGGATATGATGAGGATAGAGGTGCCGTTGTCCCCGACTATGGGGGAAGTCTATCTGCAAGGTCTGAAGGATTATCCTGACCCAGCTTGCAGGCCTCGCCGTGATCCCGAAGGATCTTTGGCCATCCTGGAGTTAAGCCTCGGGGACGTCTACCAGTGCGCCACGACCAGGGTCACCAATAAACTGACGGTAAATCCGGTTTTATTCCCTTTCGTGTATCTAATAATCCTCTTGATTCCAGAACAAACAGGTCTACTATCAAACCTTGATCATCGAAGGACACGACGCCAAGGAAGAGATGGTGCACATCAAATGCTCGGTGTCGGCTCCCAGGAACCACACGATCACTCGCAGGAACGTCCTTCCCGCAGGATTCCAGGAGGCCGAGTAAGCTCAACGAAATAGAATACGTGAAAGCGTTGCCAACAAAAGGGCTCCACTGCAAATACCTACTTTAATCGTTCCGTACCGCAAATACACGTGAATTTCCGCAGCGCCGAGCGCAAACATTAATAACAATTTGTTTGTTCAAAAGCACCCGCAATTTATTACACTCGATACACATTCAGTTATACCCACGTATCTTTTACACAATATGTTTTTCTTTCAAACCTTACGTAAATCCCCCGGCTAACTGCAAATACCAATTATATTTTTTTATTCATTGAAATTTACACAACAAATGAAACACATTCAGCTTCAACAACTTCTATTTCATCATCTTTACATCAGTGTTTACCAAATTATAATTGTTATATCTAAAATTATTGAAATTACTAAAAAATATCTTAATTTGATCATTAATACTAGTTACTGACAAAAAAAATAAACACAAATTTTAATTTCTTCAATTCAGAATGTTTCATATAATAACATAAACATATTTAACTTTAATCTACATTTCTCATTCTTTAAATAAATTTTTTTTACAAATTTTTACACAAATACCAATTATGAAATTTTCCATTCAAATGCGTTCAAATTTTTACTGCATAATAATTAGGCTATTATTTACTAAAATTTGGATATACTCGAATAATTTCTCGTGTTTTATAACATATGCATCAAAACAAACATACAAATAGTGAATAATTAAAAAAAAAACAATAGCAATTTATTTTGTCACAATTTTCACATTTTTTTTTTAATTTATTATAAATATAATATAATCAAATTTGTGCGTAAAATTAATTAATTCAACATTATATAATAGTTACATTAATTTAACTAAATTATTCTCTTTAATAATTAGTCCACATACATTTATTAAAACACATTCAACTTTCATATTGAATACAAGTTTCATTTAAATTTTTCTATTAAGCTTTTTATTCATCAAAAGGAAACATTTCAAAAGAACATTCTTCAAAGCTCGAGTATCTGTTGCGAAAGTGGGACGCGTTAATCGAATGCATTTAACGAACGGAAAATAATTCTTTATTTTTTTTTTCACCTGAACTTTATTATATTTCTATATGCGAATCTTCACCCTCGGGGGTTTCCGGATTTCGTCCTCTGTACTAGATCAAAAGCTTATACCGTGCTGCACAAACGTGCAGTTCAAATATTTGCGACCACCCTTGTTCATTTTCAAAAGTCTCGACTTCATATTTGAGTTTTTATTTAACTGTTATTTACTTTATGTTTTTTGTATGTTATTTATATTTTTTTTGCAACGTTTTCATTTCTCTTGGTTTCTTTCTTTAGAGATATTGATTTAACTTGGAGCGTGACTGGAAGAGCCCCGGAACCGGTGCTCGGTGTTGGAGTTCGTCAGGATGGAAAACTTGTGACCGGAGAACTCAACGTCGCTCCAGGTACTCAGCTGGAGATGGAGATCTCCTTGGACAAGGTGTCTTCTCCAGTTTATGGTCTTCTGGTTACTCACATGCTCGTAACTGATACCATGAAGCAGGAAGAAACCATCATTTACAACGGGTAACAATCTTTATTTTCATTTCTACTAACGTTTTACTTCAAACATGAGATAATATAGCATTATATTTAGACTAATAAATCATTCTACTAAAATTCTATTATTTTAAAGGATTGAACTGTATAAAAATGATTCATATATTGGAAGAATGATAAATTTGTACAGCTTTTTCTAAAAATTAAGTAATGAAATTATGCGAATTTACATAATATACTTTTTTTTTACACTCTTACGTATTAAAATCTATGTAAAATGTAATTCCGAAAATTATCTAATAATAAAAAAAAAATAAGAATGATAAATTTCAACAGCTTTTTCTTAAAATTCAGTAATGAAATAATGCGAATTTATATAATACTTAGTAGTATTTTTTCGATACAAATACGAATAGAAAATACTTTTTTTACACTCTTATGCATTAAAATCTATGTAAAAATATATTTCCGAGAATTATCTAATAATAAACAAATAATAATGATACATTTTTACAGCTTTTTCTAAAAATTTAGTAATGAAAAAATGCGAATCTACATTATACTTAGTAGTAGTTTTTTTTGATATAAATACGAGTAGAAAGTACTTTTTTACACTTTTATGCATTAAAATCTATGAAAAATGTAATTCCGAGAATTATCTAATAATAAACAAATAATAATGACAAATTTCTACAGCTTCTTAAAATGAAGTAATGAAATAATGCGAATTTACATAATACTTAGTAGTAGTTTTTTTCGATACAAATACGAATAGAAAATACTTTTTTTACACTCTTATTCATTAAAAACTATGTAAAAATGTATTTCCGAGAATTATCTAATAATAAACAAATAAGAATGATAAATTTCTACAGCTTCTTAAAATTAAGTAATGAAATAATGCGAATTTACATAATACTTAGTAGTAGTTTTTTTTGATACAAATACGAATAGAAAGTACATTTTTACACTTTTATGCATTAAAATCTATGTAAAATGTAATTCCGAGAATGCTCTAATAATAAACAATTAAGAATGATAAATTTCTACAGCTTTTTCTAAAAAATTAGTAATTAAATAATGCGAATTTACATAATACTTAGTAGTAGTTTTTTTTCGATACAAATACGAATAGAAAGTACTTTTTCTACACTCTTATACTTTAAAATCTATGTAAAATATTATTCCAAGAATTATCTAATAATAAACAAATAAGAATGATAAATTTCTACAGATTTTTCTTAAAATTAAGTAATGAAATAATACGAATTTACATAATACTTAGTAGTATTAGTTCGATGCAATTACTAATAATAACGTACTTTTTCTATGTAAACTGTAATTATCATGAATTATCTAATAATAAGCAAATAAGAATGATACTTTTTTGCAACTTATTCTTATATTGTATTGAAATTATGTAGAAGTAATACATTTTCATATGAAATTGAAACGAATGCGAACAGTTTTGTTTACTTATTAAAAAATACAGTCTTTTGCACTTTTTTTTTATTTAAATAAAATTTAGAAAAATATAGAAACTACAGAGCAAATTTTTAATAAATAACTTGGATACTTTTGCATAGAATAACTTTCTAATAGAAAATAAATTGAACGATATTACGCAATTTTTTATAAATAAATTATGGATTTTGTAACGTTTGATTTCTGAAAGAATCGGACGAAATTTCAAATTTTCCAAAAGAACAAAAAAAATATCCTTAATAAAAGTAAATAATAAGAATACATAAACCAAAATAAATTCATAGTAAATCCGGAAAATAACATAAATTCTAGTAAAAATAATTAAGTCTTGCGCTTGTGGAAACAATAGGAATATAAACAAGTAATATAATTTTCCCACGTTGATAGTAAATTTCCAGTCCAGTTAACGTCAATCGAGTGGGATGCGGACGTTGCGCCGCATGCGGTAATTCAGTTTCGTGCAATTGATTCTACAAATGCGTCTCGATTAGTTACGCAATAATAACACTAATAATCGTCGTCGATGCGTCCCCGAACGTCAGTCCACAATGATGCGCGCTTGAATACGTGCATCGAGCTACGAACAGAATAAGCCATTAAAGTTATTTCGTGTGTGTATAATTTATAACACGTTAAAACGTCCCTAATGTATGCGCGCTAAGTTATGTAACGCACGCTGGAATACGCGCGTAATCATGAATAATTCGAAAATAAACTTGAATTATCTCGCCGTAAGATTTAACAAACAAATAAACGCGCAACAAGAAGCGCAGTCAAACAAATCATGCTTAAATCATTAATCTCGTGTTCGGTATTCCGATGCTGAAATAAACATGAGGCGACATTCATGAAAGGTGACTTCTTACGAAAACATTTTCATTCCTTGATGCGATAAAAATGATGTTTTAACAACATCCATTTCAGATAAAAATTTATAAACCAAATCTATTTATAAACATTTCTTAATTACAAGATTATAAATTTATATTATTACATTCATTATGTTTAAGCATATTTTTTTTTATTAGCAATGCACAATTAGTATACGAAACGTACATTGCTTAACTTTCACATGAAACATCAAAAAGTAGATTGGAAACCGGTTTTAATCGTTTTTTATGTCTGACTAATTTTAATTCAAATGTACTTTTCATAGAATCAATAAAGATTTATTCCTTCCGCAAGTTGAAATCAATTAAATCCTTGTTGAGTTCATTAAATTCTTATTTATGTACTTGGCTGCAGTGTAATGTTCTGATCTTCCTTGGAATAACATAAAATAAGTGAATAATTAAAAAAAATAACATTTTATTTGTATGCATTTTTTTCTTTATATTTTCATGATTGAAAATATTCAAAAGGTTATTAATTTCAAGAAAATGTATAATAAGTAGAAAGTATAAAAATTAAGTATCAAGGTAATAGTTGTGCATGTTGTATTCAATTGATTCATGTAATAACAGTAATTGTTGTACAACTGTCGTGCATTTATTATTAATAACCGTTTGAGACCTTGGATGGAACGAAAGTTGTTTCCTCGGTAATACAAATAGACAATGCGAATTATTGAATGGACAAAGATCGAAAGGAAATATACATTCATCAATTTAGACAAAAAATAATAAATTTAATAAAAAATCAATGAAGTAAAACTTATTTAATTGAATTGTTTGTTGAAGATATTGATTGTTGTTTATTCTTTGTGCAGATGTTCAGTGGATCCATATCTGTTCGGTAACTTCAAGACCATCGAGGGTGACCTGCTGCGCGCCAAGTTCCGTGCCTTCAAATTCCCGGAATCTACATACGTACAATTCAAAGGCACAGTAAACGTGTGCTTGGGCAAGTGCAACGGCGTAAGTAATCCCATCTTACGGTGGTTGTGTTTTCGCACGGACACGTAGGAATATTTAGTTAGCTGGTTGGATGTTGCACCTGTGGCCCTTCCACGATGCAGATAATTAAATCATCCTTACAACTAATTCCCAAGCTCGCATTTCTACTAATCTCACAAATTCACTGCAACCTATCCACAGAGAACGATACTGCACTCCTCTCCTGATTAATTCCTTCCAAAGTTTAGCACCAATTAAAACCATGACGACTGAAATAGTAGCTTCTTCAATTTATTAATAGTCTGACATAAAATGTAATTGAAGTCAATTTATTTGTTGTTTTTTTTTTGTGTATAAAGTTTGTACGTCATTTCTTTTATCACCGTAATTGTAGGGAATTATTCGTGTCTAAGAGTATTATAGGCACGCAACGTGCTTCAACTTTATAATTGATATACAGCAAAAAAGAAGCATGCTTTCATTGAATGATTAAGTTGGATAGATGAAGAAATATACTAGATGTCGCAGCAGGACGTGCTGTTCTCGCTTGCCGCATGTGTTCTCCTTTTTTTTTCTCTCCACTTTTTGAAAGTAGTTCTGAAGATAAAATGTTTTCCTTTCACTTTCAAATGCTATTCAATTCTTAATGATAGCTGGCATTTACTAAAGATCAAATTTAATATATCTGAAAAACAACAAACAACTTACAATTTTAATTAGTATTAATCGTTTTAAATAGTTAAATCTGTTTGGAAGTTTTCTTCTCAATTGACCATCAACGTTATCTATTTTTAAATTAAATTCATTAATTAGATATAAATTAAATTGGAAATCAGATACGGTTTAGTTCTAGCTAACTTACTTTGATACACATGGATCTATATCGAAATCTCGACAATAAAATTTCCAACATTCGAAATCCTGACAACCATAATCCCAACAGCATCAAAATCGAGAACATTTTAACGGATTTTAGCAATCGTCTTTCAACTTTGTCAATGAGTGTAGAGTTGTTGAAATGATCTATAATATACATAGATAATTGAGAACAAGTCTTCCTCGCGGTTTCTATTCTTCACCATTAAATATAGATGTGCACAAATTCTAAGGTTTAATTAAATAAATAATTTAGTGTAGGCACAAGGTTACAATAAAACATACGTTTTACTCTAAACAATAGAATGTCGGTGTTCTTTTTCATTCAGGTAATAACGCTGTCAGGATTTTCGGTATTGGAATTTCGAATGTCGGGATTTCGGTTGTCGGTTTATTGAAACAAACGAAATATATATATTGATAAATGGTATTCATAATCTATATATTACATAACTTTGATTAGATGCAAAATAATAGATAAAGGTTACATAGTTTTAAATTCTAACTATCAGATAGTATTGATAATTGACAAAGTCCATGTAATGTAATTTTTTTAATAATTATATTAATAAGTTATATCGTTTAATATTTTTTCTATTGATAATTAAGTAGGAGAGAAATGTTTATCAGATTTCCTGTATTTAATTACAATGTTATAATTTATATTCTAAATGGATCTACAGAAGTTTTTGGTTATACAGTTTGAAAGAGTCGGGGGAGTGAAAAGATCAGTTCGTGAGATGGAAGAGAAATTGATATCTAGGACGGATGAAGAGAATATGTATATTTCAGTTGGAAATTGGGTTTTGTGGATGTGCAGATCCGCGCCAATAAGATTCCGATGCAAATGGTCCATCCTTCGGAATTTAATAACGATAACGTGTATGGCCCACATCTCACGGCACCGCAGAAATTACTTTGCAAAGTATTTACATCAGAGTGCTCACAATCTCTCCAGTTCTTCTAAATAATTGCAAAAAATAACAATTACCAATTGCTTTTATACTTTTCCTATGCTTGTTATGTATCTCCATAATTTCGCTCGGAACTGGGACACTCTCAATAGGATGCAATTTACATATTTACACGCGATACTTTCTAATTGGATATTTAGCTGAATTCAATGGTGAAATATGAAATTACTATTCTCTAGTTAATTATATTTTTTTTAATAGATTTAAGTAGGATTTGGATAGATGTAAAAAGCTAGGTATTTATGAATAAAAATGGGATGGATGGGAATATTCGCGTGTTTAAAATGGAAAAGAAGAAAAGAAAAACTTTACGCCTTCCTTACGGTAAAGCACTAAACTTTAATGATGCAATTCCGCGCGCGGAAAATAAGGTGGTAAATATTGTGCATTACCATAATAAGTTAAATGCTAATGCCGATTTAAGTAGGCTCGGATTATCCCATCAGGCGCGATGGATTTATGCTCGCGAATCCTAAAACGAAAAGAGTTAATCCGTCCCCGCTCACCCATAAAACAACATTCGAATGAAACGAACAAAAAAAAAAGAAGAAGGAGAAAATATAGTTACGTACGTACGTGTAGATAAATCCGTGAATCTGCATGAATTAGCAGTAAATTACCTGGGGGAGCAGTCGGTGGGTTTCTTTGCGGTAATTGATTTCTTTTTGTGCACGCGTGTGATGCGGAGGGAATCCTCTTTTCGCGATGTATGCAAAAAGAAGTTTGGCCAGAATGGGGTTGAAGGGGTAATAAATTTTGTTAACAAGCGGTCCAAATGAAATCCGGTGTTGGATTTGAGAAAAGGGGTTCACAAACCTGCATTGAAAACCAGAACACAGCCCCTTACTTATCGCATCAAATTTTCATGGATTTGCAAGACCAACGAATGTATGCTTTCTGGTGGATCAATCTTTATTTTGTTGTTGTTTTTGTTTTACAGATTGAATGCAGCGATGGGCAAATCGGTTATGGAAGACGCAGGAGGTCCATCTCCGCTATACCAGCTGATCCCAACAAGGTGTTCGAGATCACGATCACTTCATTCATTAAGGTGAACTACAAGGATGGCGAGGAAAACTTCGTGGAGGTGATCAGGAATCAGACCAAAGTGTTCGGCGACAATAAGCTGATCGTCGGTAACCAGAAGAGCGAGAGGAACGTGTACGTGGGCGGCGAAGAGGATCGTCCGACCCTTCGCGTGAAGAAGGTCACCGAAGAGACACAGGAGCAGATCGTCATGACGGATAGCGGCTCACCACTAACCCAAATTCCTTTCCACCTCATCCTCTGCATAACAGTGACGAGGTTACTACTCTTGTAAAATAGCTCTACGACAATGATACTTAAGTGCAGCTAAAACACGCGATCAAGACAGAGAGCGAAAAAAGAAGAGAAAAAAAAAACCAACAACAAACAACAACGAAACGAGAAAATAGAGCGAAAAAAAAGCGATATAATAAACAGAGTAATAATATTAATATACAAACAATTAATGCTTAGTTTATATGACTGTGATACTTACAAATACGATTTTATTTTTTTTTTCGTGAGCTTAACTGCACTTTGAGGTGCGCGAAGACTTCCCCAAGGATGGGGTTTCTTGGGGTACTTTTCACGCATCTAACCTATATATTTTTTGTTCGATCCCCTTCATTGATTGAGGTGAAAGAAAGTAAAAAGAAAACGAAGAGATGAAACACAAGAGCTTGAAACACACAGTAACTGCAACAAAAAAAAAAGAAGCGAAAGAAAGAAAGAGTAAGCAAACACAGGAAACTCAATTAAAACAACTACTGCCAGCTTAGAAACGGCCATCTTATACTACCATTAACTTAATTATTAATAGAACAACTCACTAACAATTATTTTAGTGCAATTTTAATATACATTTCTTTTATATTTTTTTTTTGTATTATATTTCACGCGCACTACTGGTTCATTCTTTTAGTACTATGTTTAAGTGAAAATTGTATTAGTTTGTTAAATATTTTCTTGGATAATTTTCTTTCTATTATTATTTTTTTTTTGTTTATCTAAAAACTTTAAACCTAGTGCATGTTATTTTTTTTTTTGATTACTTATAATTTTAATCGATGATACTAAAAATGACTTATAACACTCTTTAATCATTAAAAATAAACTGTAATTTGTATATGGCATTGTTTATAATAAATATTTATAAAATCTAATTTTGTAAAATTGCTTCATAAATTTTGATAATAAAGGAAATTTTAAAATTATTTCTCTTTTTATCCTTTTGTTGATAATCCTATTAATTGATGTTATATATTTGTTATATAACTAACTAATGTTTTGCGTTATTTTTTATTTTTACAGATAGAACAATCAAGTAAATTTTTATACTTAAAATAATTAACATAAATTACATATAATCTCCAAACAATAGAATATCTAAAACGTAGATAATCCATAATATTTGATCCATTTTTCCATTTTTTTTATTGGAACACACTTTTTGAAAAGAAAACTTTGCTTGGATTATTTATAATGAATTCACTGTATATGAATTATTATTAAACAATATTATTGTTACGTCAACTGCAAATAATGTAAATTTCCAATGATTGTAGATCATATGTGTAAGTAATAATAATATTATTTCTAATAAAACTATATTTTCTCTTGTAATGTTTACCAATAAATAAAAATATTTGTTAAATATGTATAAATGTTTAGTGTAATCAAACATATATGAAGAAATGGTATGTAAGGGTATGTTATCATGAATAATAGTTATATCTAGAAATCTATGATAAAATGAAATAAGAAAAGAAATTTTCTTTCATTACTTAATCAAACCTATCTGTTAACTGTGAATAGAAGTTTGTTGCAAATGAATGAATAAACTATTGAAAATGTATCATATTAAATCCACTCTATTCGTGACATGACAATTATACGCTTACACAGAAACTAAAATGACAATTGCAATTAGGGTTGTGTTCAAAATAGATCCTTCAAATGTCAATCATAGTTTGAGTGCAGGTTTATATTATTAGAAAATGTGTTATTCGATACTCCATATTCATATAAATGAACATTTGGTTACATGATTTTATTTTAAGAGATTTTCTTAACAATTATTCTCAAGTACAAAAAGTAATACTATTAATACTTTGTTGATTTGTTGATTTTAAATGGGACTATAGTAAATCAGGACTGATCGAAACCGCAATATGCGAACACTAAATAAACCCTACAAAAGAAGTGCCATGTTGTAAGTATTGTCTTAGTTTTTGCCATCTCCGTGTAATTCAACTTTTAATTTAATTATTCTTTATTTATTTATAAATTACATTTTTGTTGGATATTTTCATAACCGTGGATGGGCTAATACCATCTTGTAGTCTTGAGAAATGTTAAATTTGCAGTTTTATAAAAATAAATATCTCAGGTTATGGTTGGGATTTTAGGGTTTTGGAGTCGGTGGTTTCTAGGAGTTGACTGAGGATTGGGTGAGGGTATGTGGGTGAGTGATTTTGTCGTTGGACGTTTTGGTTCAAAAGTGACGGGTAGGATATGCGGGATTCGAGACGACCTTGAAATTGTTTGATGAAGTCGTGTATGTTTGGGAAAGAGATAAAGTTGTAGGTAGATGAAGGGTGTTTTGGAGATACATTTCCATTCAAACAGGAGGATTTTTTTTTGATGAGAGACACGATAGGACTTTGAGGCATTAGTTGGTTGATGGAGTATTTGGTGTTGATAGTCTGGGATAGTTGGACACAACATTTCTTAACTTTTGCAATTGAATGATAAGAATATATCATGTATTTCTCATACATCACTATTGTTATTCCTTTTATGATCATAGAGACAATTTCTTTACGACTTAGGTAGTCGTAAAGTGAGTCTCACGAGAGAAGATAATTCGCCCTATGGTGGAAGATCTTCGATTATATCCATGGACCAAGCAGAGGAAGAAGTCCCAAATGTAAATCGTAAACGATATTTATAGCAAATATGCCGTAAACGCAGGGTTCGCCTCCGCCCACGCCGACGGTTTAATGGAGAAAAATGGAAAGCAGAGATAAAAGATTTATAGTCCAAAAACCAAGGGAATCGTCCGTTCGCCTCGTTATTTATTGGAGCTGATGCGATTATGTGTATAATGTGTTTCGGGCGCGAAAATTCGCAAGTGATTCTGAAGAGGATGTACATCAAAATCATGGCAAGTGTAATAAAAATATCCATGTCGTGCAGATAAAAAGTATAGGCGATGGTTATTTATATATAAGCCGTTCGTGTGGTGCACAATAGGTGAAAACCTTATTCAATTCGAAATCTGTTTGGTCGGCTGCGGTAATGTGTTCACAGACTCGTGCGAGCAACAAAATGTACAGGCCAATCGTAGTAATAATCCCCCCGGATCGTGTCGTTTTCAATTTTGGCAATGATGATGTTCCGCGCAGCAGATTGTTAGCTGAAATATGCATGGATTCGTTAATGCCGGGATTATGAAATTAATATCGGCCCAGTGTGCCAGAAAACGTGCAATTCGTATTAATGAGTCCGTTGATTGGCCCATCACGCACAACGGTTTATTTTCTAAATTAAACGTATAAAACTATGCACATAAAGAAAATTCTCGACATTTTAATCAAAATGTTATACATATTATTGATAGTATCTTGTTATATTGATTTTTGTTGGAGAAATTTTATTTTGGTAACATAAAATTTACTGTAATTAAAAACCGGGGCCGACGTGGAATTAGTGGTTGCTTCAGTGAAATCAGTGTTAATAACCACGGTATTACGTAAACCAATTTGATTATCATCAATCTGAGCACGGTTGATGCGTAATGCTTACATTACCATCGGCTAGCCAATATCGACATTACTCCTACCCCAATATATTTCCAAATTGAATCATCCGACTGAAATTGGCATTAATTGCCAATAAATCAAAGACTCACCAAAACTCGTACACGCAACATCTCACTCACCTCAATCACAATCCATTCATACATATATATATATACTTTGTTTGTTTTTTGCAACATCATCATATTTTTGAAATTCAAACAGATCAATACTTTACGTAACTGCGTATATATAAAATTTTGTACACTTCATTCTGTTGTTTATAAATATTGTATATTTGTGTCGGTGCCTCGAAATTAAATTTTACTATAAACAGAAAGAATATCAATAAAATTGTGTAATAAAAACATGATCGTCTAATATAGTATTTCCCAACGTGAGACCAATTCCCCACAAGGAGGCAATTTAATTGTTAATGGGGCAATTAAAAAATGGACACGCCTAGAGTTTAACAGTTAACTAATTGTATATGTTACAAAAGGGTCATAAGAATTTTGGAAAGGTTTGAATGTTGAATTATAACAAAACTAATTCCAGTTTATATAGAATACTTTTTCAATTGCAGAAAGGCGAATTTCTTGTAGAAATCGAGCCGTGATCGTCTAGTGATTTGCACCCTACGTTGTGGGCGTAGTAACCACATGTAAATACTCTCTATCACCCTCGCCCATCCAACACCATCACTCCTACATAAATAATTAATAAGGCCCTAGAGGTCTAATATATTTTTTAATGCATTTTAGATAAAACAAAGTGTTTTTCCACACAAATTTCTGTATAATATAGAAATAGTTGTATATATGAACTAACAACCATAGTTTAAAATTTTAATCTTAAGTATCCTAAACCCTTCAAATGTAAATAATTGCTTTGGCAATTACTTCCATAATATTGTTAAAAATGTAAGAAATATAAACCGATGCAAATCCAAAACAATTATATTGAGAGATTTGTAACAAGATAAATGTTTATGCCCTTGCAAATTGTAAAAGGGTCAACAATTAGGTAGTAATCCAGGTTCAAATCCTGGTCACTGCATTCCGGTAGAATATTTTTAAACATAGAATACTTTCCAATTGGAGAAAGGTGCTTTGTGTATAGATATCAAGCCGTGATCGTCTAGTGGTTAGGACCCTACGTTGTGGCCGTAGTAACCCAGGTTCGAATCCTGGTCACGGCATTCTGACAGAATACTTTTAAACAATATTCATTCTAAATTATATAGAATACTTTTCAAATCAAGAAATGCAAAGATGATATAACATATAAATAATTTAGTTTATATAAAAATGAATTTGAATCTGCAGTTCTTACTCGAAGAAATTATAAAAATGATCTGCAAATATAAACCAAAGTATTGGCAATTTTGGATTCGTCATCCAATATAAACATTATACTTACACAAGAATCCTCTAGCTCCGAAAAGAATTTATATATATATATAATGTGATTCAATTAATAAAAAGTAAGTATTAATAAAACTATTATATTTACATCATTTTTAAGATTAATTAAGTAATCTGAAGTTCAATTTTGGATTTGTTGTTTTCTATACA